CCCCATACCCATCCTCCGTGCCGTGTCTTATAACTCAATTTGGAAGCCAGGGTCCGACATCGGACGTCCATTTGATGAGGCAACGCACGTCGCCAGAACATGGCAGTGGGAAAGGGAAGGAGAAGGAGAAAGAGGGAGGTAACTTCCTGCCACTGGCAGAATGCGATCCAAAGCCATCAACCAACCAGCAATGGAACCTCAAGAAAGAACTAAGGAAAGAAAGAAGGATCTTTCTAAGGTCTCTTTCCATCAGGAATCTCTTCAGATCGATGATGTATCTTTGATGTAAAAATATTCCTGCATACCTCTTACTTTTCCCCATATTTACCTACATCTTGAAGTTCCTATATAAATCATACGAATAGAGTCGATCTATTTTTTGATATTCCTGAAGCTACAGGCTTTGGGCTTGTTCCAAAGAAGCTTCATCGGTTCAACGAGTGGGGTAAGTAGCTTGGGGCGTACATTCTCTAGAGAACTTTTGGTTGAAATATCCCCTGAGGAATGGGCACTGGCCGGCCATGCGGACCCTCATCGTCGTGTCTCTCTGATTCTTTGGATCGCGGTAGACACACATGAGGTTTTATATTTGTGGAATTTTAATTTAAAATTCATTCATCATTCCATTGAAAAGCAGAAAGGGTAGAGGTAGAGGTAGGGGAGGGTAGGGGTACTCCTTCATTGGTATTTTTTCTTCATTTCTTTCTATCTCTCTATCTGCGGCTTTCCTTCATTGTCTCTGCCACTGTCCCATTGTTTTTGTGCCTCCTCATCTGCTGGGGCGTGGGGGATTATGCGGGCTTAACCCCTCAATGTCTCGCGGGTGCCAGTGCCCTCCCTCTCTCTCTCTCTGTCCACTCTTTGGTTGATTTTTCACACAAAATTCAATTCAATTGTTTTTCTCATTTCTTATTTCTCACTTTTTCCCTTCCCTCATTTTCGATAATTATGCTGTGTCTCTGTCGCTCTTTCACTCTCTCTCTCTGGCCCTCCTTTTTCCTCTCCCACTATCTGTCGCTCTCTCTTTCTCCCTGCAGCGATCGCTTAAGCCCTGTCTAAAGCAGAATGCCTCACCGTTGAAGCCAATGATTGCTTTTCAATCTGCAGTCAATCAATCTTCAACATCTCTTGGCATTCATTCCTGATTCATATTTTGCAATCGCTTAATTCCTCCAGCAGCTTTCATGGCATTAATTCGTTGGGTCTTCTTCATGGAGCTTAAAAAATCCCTCCCCCCCTCCGCCTGCAACGTTTGGGCGAATAGTTTTCCTGCAGGTGAAAATTTCCCTACTAAAATGGAAAACTTTCGGTCTCCCTCTCCTCTTCTTGCCTCTCTCGATGAGGAGAGGAGTAAATCTGTTAATTAGGCAAAATACTCATTTTGGATCAGGCTCTCTCTCCCCCCCCTCTCTAACTCTGCCACGAACAAGAAGCGTCCATTGAGATACAGATACTACAGACACACAAGATACAAATGTTTCTTCTAGCTGTCCCGCCTGCGGGGGCCAGCAGCCCGGCGCACTTGAGTCCTGCTTTTGTTTTCCTGCCGCGGCGCTGCGCTCAATCCAAAAATGCTTTGTTTTATTAATTAAAGAGAATGCAAAGCTCTTTTGAGCCAACGCAGGGGAGCGGGGGGCGGGAACGATAGAGAATGCGGAGGAGGTTTTACTTGGATTAAAATTAAAACAAGTAGAAAAGATTAACACATTTGATAGACGACGATAGAGATACACTTGAAGAGGCAAACAAAATATTTGAAGGTTTCCAAAAACTAACTTCCAAATAAAAGAAATACTATATCGAACAAAAATTAAAGATTCAATTTTTTTGAAAAATCTTAATGAAACTAGATGGGATGGATGGATAATTACAACCCTGTAAAACAAGACTGTTCCACTACAAAGATCTCTTGAGATATTTGGTGTTCCCCCCGATTTGTTCTCTAGCGTTGCATTATAAATTATATACATGTATATTTTTTTTTGGTATTTTCATATGTATTTTCTGCATTGAAAAATAATTATGCTCTGTCCGGGGAGAAGAGTATTTTATAGAGAGAAAATCGCACAACAGAAGCGGAAGAACATAACAGTACAAGGCGAACATAGTGCATGAAAGGGGGGGTGGGGCAGAAAAAAGGGGTGGGCTAAAGAGAGCCAGAGAGAAACAAGAAGCAACAATTTCTTTTTCTGTTTTCTACGCACAAAATCCACAGACGTTTTTTTTTTGTGGTTGTTGTTGTTTTGTATTTTATTTTTATTTTTTGCAACATAATTGGAATTTCCTTTTCCCTGTTGCTTCATTTTGTTGCTCTCTCTTTCTGTCTCCTGTTCACTTAGTTTTTGTTGTTGTTTGTTCTGCTGCTTCTGTGTTTCTTCCACATCGTTCCTTATGTCTTCTTGTCAAGTGGCACACAAATGCGAAGAGGTTGCTGCTTGCCCGACCGCACCGCTTGACCACTCAACTCACTCTCTCGCTCCCTTGCACCTGAGAAATTCCCCCCACTTAAGAGACAGAGATGGACTCCGTTTCTTGAGAACTGGAAACTGGAAATGGGAGACTGGGCAGCAGAAGATTTCAGCGGGGGGAACGAACATCATCATCATGTGGTTTGCATTGTAAAATACTGCACCCGTATGCATGTACAGTGCGTGTAATAGGTCTACGAAAGATCTTACAATTTTAGAATTAAAAATTGCATTAAAAAAATTAATATTTCTGCTTGTAGCCTCCATTTCGCCAAAAGCTGATAGCCACGAAACGCACTATGGAGAGCATTAACAAAAGCGTCAGCGAATGTAGAGAGAGAGAGAGAGAGGCAGGAAGAGCCATCCATTAACGGTATACAATGACTAGCTGACAGTTTTCCCTCTCAGACGTCAGTCCTTTTTCACTCTTTCGCCTCCTCTAAAGGGGAAAATCGCCTCACAAATTAAGCTGGGTTTTCGGTTCCTTTTGCTAATTAGGGACTGTCCACTCGCTAAGGCACTCTCCTTGATGGCAGCCGCCAGTCAGGCGCACTACTGGCAGCCCTCCTTCTGCCTTTTCTGTTGCTGTTGCTGCTGCTGCTGCTGCTGCTGTCGAACAAAGACAGCTTTTCCACCATGAAAATTGCACGGGAAAATATCTAAACACAAGCTCCACTTCTTGGGGAAGAGAGCAGAGCATGACAACAATTAGAGCAGCGAGAGAGAGAGAGAGGGGAAAAGGGCTCAGAGAAAGACCACTCAAGAGTGGAGTTAACTTTTTATAAGAAGAGGGTCTCCTAAAAAAGTTATTCGCGGAATTGAAGTAGCTGAGTGGAGCTGGTTGCAGGTCTCCAAAAACAATGTCAGATCTTGCCCCGAAACCCAACACTTTTGGGTGGTGGGAAAACTCTTCCCAATGTTAAGTCGTTTCATGGCCATCAATCGATCGTTTAAGGCTTAAACCTTCTCAAGCTGAAAGCCTTCACTTCCTCTCTGTTTTGTGGCTAGTGAAAAAGCACACATTGATCGGCTTTTCCTTTTTGTGAGTCATGATTCCATGACGCGCTGGCTTTTCTCTTTGTTGCAAGTTCTTGTTTTGCTTTTTCTTCGTCTCTAAATCCCACAGAAAAGGGGCGCAAGCATCAGCGTTAATTAATTTTAACTTTGTTACTGTTTTTAGAACCTCCCAAAAAGTCTGGAGTCTGAGGTCTGTTTTTTTTTTTTTGGTTCCCTCTAAAAACCGGATGCGTTAATTGCTTGGGAAGTCTGTGTGTATCTTTTTTTTGTCTGAGTGAGAAGAGAAGTTTTCTCTAGCCTACAGGCGGGAGAAAGTGCTTCTCAGGGCCTCAGCAGACAACAAGTCATCATTCGCTCTGCCATTTCATTAATATTTATTTCATATATGCACATAAAACCCAAATGATTCTAAAGCCAGAGCTGGATGGTCCCATCTAAACTATCTCATGCGTGCCTAGTGCCTTGGTCACCAGATATTTCGCTATTACTATGGAAAAACCACTTTGTGGATTGCAGTTTGTGTGTCATGAACATATGAAATCCTGGTTCCGTAAATGTGAGATCTGTTTCCCACCCATGGCAACATCTCCCGCTTGTTGCGCAATCTTCAAAGTCAAGTGTTTGTCCAACGTTTCGTGTTTTTTTTTTTTTTTTTTCACCGCAAGTCAGGTGCTGCCTTGTCTTACGCTCAAAATGTATCTGTTAATTGTATCTGTATTCTGTCTGTAATTCTTCAAAAAATTTATGATTCGTACGAATAGCAGCACATCTCTCTACAGAGCCCCTCGTAGCTAAAACAAATATTGACTCTAAAATTTTCGTTTGAGATTGCGATAAGGAGCATTATACTTCTGGGTGTTTTTTTTTGTATTTTGTTCTGCATTTGGGATGTTGTTTTGGGTTCTATCGTAGTTTCTACGCGGGTATTTGCGTAGCGTTTGGTTTGGCTCAGGGTCAGGCGGCGGGCGGCATGCGGCAATCAGACAATCAGGTAACGAGAAAATGCTCAGGTACACTTCGGGTAATTTGTTCGGATTATAGCCCGTCCTTCCCATCTGTCTGTTACTTTAAATAAACACCCAAATCGTGGAAGAATAAACTGCTGATAAGAGAGAGGAGACTAGTATTTTAGCCAGGTTTCCATTTGCCAGTTTCCATCTGTTGCTATCTTTTTTATCTCTTGTGATGGAACATTCTCGTCTTCTAGGTTTTGCATATACACATCATTCTGTCAAGTTTAATTGGGATTTATTCAACACAAAAAGAGGTTATAGGGGGGTTCCTACTGAGATGGATATTCGATATATTCATGTGGATCCATTTCACTGCTTTAGATATACCCTTTACTTCCACTATCCTTTAAATTGAAATTAAAAGAAATATCCTTTAAGATAATTACTATCAGATCTAATACTGATTTTTCTATTTTTTAATTTAATTTCTAATTATAAATGGCGGGAATATGTGTGGACTGTGCGTGGACTGCAAGTCCAATTGTGGAACGTATTCACTCACCTATTAGCGAGCAGCTGCACAGCAGCAGCGCTGCCCAGACGAGGGACAGCGGCGGCGTCGGTTCTCCCATTTTGTTCTTATATTTGTTCCTTGTTCCTCTTATCTCTCGTCTTCTTCTTTGGTGTCTCGTCCACTGGTTCTGCTTGTGTTTTTTGTTCGCTTGCACAAAGTTTAGTCAAATTTTTTGCTCCACAGGAAAAAAAATGTTGAAAAAATTACTGTTTCTTCTGTCAATGTGGACTCTGCTGTTGCGTGTGAATCTGCAAGAAAGAAAAGAGAGACAGAGAGAGAGAGGCAGGAGCCAAGGGTTAAGTAGTGACAAATCATTTGATATTTCAAAAGATGCAAAAGGCAGGGTTAAGTTTTTACCAAATGCCAAATGTTGGCCTTTTAACTGCTATTAAGGTTGTGAGAGGGGGTCGCGGGGGTCGGTCGCGGGGATAGACTCGACTCATTTGCTGGAGAGCGTCATTCCATGGCCGGCTCTGCGTCACACACGAGCAATTTCATTGCAGAGAGCGCGACAGAGATGGCAGCAGCGACCGTCGACAGCGACCGCAACAGCAGTCAAAGAGAAGAACTTGTTCACACATATCCACCATATGCATGGGTGTGTGTGTGTGTGCGTTTGTGCGTGTGTGCTTTGTCTTGGCAGCAGGTTTCTTCCAAGGTGCATGCCATACAAGGGTGAAGCACTGCTTAAACACTCTACAAGTACCTCACCATTCCTATTTGTACCCTGCAACTTTGTTCTTTGCTGTCGCGGACACAGCGCGCTGCTTCTGCTTTGGCTTGTCTGTTCTTTTTTGACGTCGGCGTCGCTGCCACTTCGGCCAGTTTTGTAACGGAAATTACTGCGGCTGCCGCTCTCTGCAGTCGAAGCACGTAGCAGCGACAGCGGCAGAGGAGGGGGTTAATAAGGGATGGAGCGGGGGTGGGAGAGCGAGGGACCTGCAGCGCATATTTAAACAGTAAAAAAAATGTTTTGGCATATCTTAATAAATAAATAAATATACAATTTCCAATAAATTGTATTGTCTTTATTCCTCTCTCTCTCTCTTGATCATTATCTGTTGCTGTCGCCGTCTCTCTCCCTCTCTCACGCTTATCGGAAGCGGGCGAGAGCGCACATTCGATTAGCGGTTTGTTTGCTGTCTGTTTGGCGATAAGGCACCTTTGACTCTCTTTCTCTCTTATCCATAAGAGTTGTCCTTGTGGGAAGAGAGCAGGCAACAGGTACCCCTCTCACTCCATCTCCTTCACCTTCTCCAGCAAAATGTTCCTCTTGGCAACGCCATGTGTGTCTACCGTTATTACTGGGGCGCCCAATCGATATTTTAATTTACCCTCATTACTGTGGTGGGCCCGTTCAGTTCAATCGATATTTGGGGCAGGCCTTGGCACCGCTCAAAAGACTAGGCTCCTTTCTAGCGCTTGAAAATTGCGAAATATTACAAAATATTAGCCCTAATATATTCTTAAAGTTTTCCAAAAAAAGAAAAATATACCACTAATTATGAGAAGAGGGAAACTTTTGTCACATAACAGGGGATGGTGGGGAGGGTTGGAAAATCTGTTCATTAAAGTTGGAAACTTTTCCCTTGATATTCGAGAATTATTAATGCGGATGTCAAATGATTGGATTTGCGACATTTTGGACAACTTTGAAATTAGCAGAGAGTTTTTATTCATTTGTTTGAAATTTGTAAGGCAGAT